CCCAGGAGGCGGAGGTTGCAGTGAGCCGAGATCGTGCCATTGCACTCCAGCCTGGGTAACAAGAGTGAAACTCCGACTCAAAAAAAAAAAAAAAAAAAAAAAAGAGAGACAAGACTGGGTTTCTCAGAGCCTTCCTGCCTCCTAGCATGTTCGTCTGCTCACACGTGAACCTCATCTATATGTCAGGAGCTGTGTAACACACACGCCCCAGGCATCAACTGAGCACGTCTTGGAGACAGCAGCCTTGGACAAGTTTCTGTCTTCCTGCAGATCGTCAAGCCCTCTCCCAGCTTAGAATTATTAGTTGAGGAATCTCCTGAAGAGGTCATTGAAAATGTCATCGAAGATGTTGAAGAGGTCACTGAAGAGGTGGAAGGGTCTCTGGAGTCTGAGGTGGAGGAGTGGGGAGAGTCGGAAGTGTCCGTCATCTCAGTCCCTTCAACCGTCTTGCCGACGCCGAGGGCCTCTGCAGAAGAGCTGGCCAAGTTGCGGCCACGTATAGATCCCCGGCTCTGCCCATCCCCAGGGTAAGGATGGAAACCTGAACCAGGGCAAGTGGTCAGGGCAGTAGGGTCATAGCCTAGACCACACCGTGGCCTCCGCTTAAAAGTCCTGAGGTGGGCTAGGTGCAGTGGCTCACACCTGTAATCCCAGCACTTTGAAAGGCCAAGGCAGGCAGATCATGAGGTCAAGAGATCAAGACCATCCTGGCCAACATGGTGAGACCCCGTCTCTACTAAAAATATAAAAATTAGCTGGGTATGATGGTGCACACCTGTAGTCCCGGCCACTAGGGAGGCTGAGGCAGGAGAATTGCTTGAACCCAGGAGGCGGAGGTTGCAGTGAGCTGAGATTATGCCACTACACTCCAGCCTGGCAACAGAGTGAGACTCCATCTGGAAAAAAAAAAAAAAAACAGTCCTGAGGCTGAGTCACTCCCGGATCCCCCACCCCCAGGAAGGGTTAAGGCCCCACTAGGCTGTTAGCTGTGCAGGGGGCATTTGGATTCAGCCCTCTTTCCAGGAGGGTTGAACGCTAAATCCTTCTACTCTAACCGCCTACTCAAAGTACAACTGGGTCCCACTTCCCTGACCAGCCAAGATTTTTGGAGTAATTAAATTTCTTTTTTGAGGGTACAGAGTCTCACTCTGTCACCCAGGCTGGAGGTCAGTGGTGTGACTTTGGCTTAATACAACCTCCACCTCCCAGGTTCAAGCAGTTCTCATGCCTCAGCCTGTAGCTGGGACTACGGGCATGCCTGGCTAATTTTGTATTTTTAGTAGAGACAGGGTTTCGCCATGTTGGCCAGGCTGGTCTCAAACTCCTGGTCCCAAGTGATCTGCCTGCCTCGGCCTCCCAAAGTGCTGGGATTACTGGTGTGAGCCACTGCACCTGGCCTGAATTTCTTGAGTTGATTGAGAGATGATAAATTAACAGCCCTTTTCATTTCAGCCCTTGGGTGGGAAAACCTTTTTTGGTTTAACATTTTAATCCATCTAAGATGTATTCTGGCATATCAAGTCCAATCTAGCTCCATTCCCTCTTTTTTGTGCTACTTTTGTTATGAAGATTATAGTAATTTTCATAAATATTTTATCATTATAAACATATTAATATGTTACAGACCAGACTCAACAATACATTGTTATAATTATTGACTTATATAATCAATGTCTTGCAGAGAAGAAAGGAGAACACAAATATATTTATAAAGATTTTTTTTTTTTTTTTGAGACAGAGTCTTGCTCTGTCACCCAGGCTGGAGTGCAGTGGCATGATCTCCGCTTACTGCGACCTCTGCCTCCTGGGTTCAAGTGATTCTCCTGCCTCAGCCTCCCCAGTAGCTCGATTACAGGCGCCTGCCACCATGCCAGGCTAATTTTTTTTTTTTTTTTTTTTTTTTTTTTTGAGACGGAGTTTCACTCTTGTTACCCAGGCTGGAGTGCAATGGCGCCATCTCGGCTCACCGCAACCTCCGCCTCCTGGGTTCAGGCAATTCTCCTGCCTCAGCCTCCCGAGTAGCTGGGATTACAGGCACGCGCCACCATGCCCAGCTAATTTTTTGTAGTTTTAGTAGAGACGGGGTTTCACCATGTCGACCAGGATGGTCTCGATCTCTTGACCTCGTGATCCACCCGCCTCGGCCTCCCAAAGTGCTGGGATTACAGGCTTGAGCCACCGCGCCCGGCCTGTTCTTCCTTTTTTCATGTGAATTTGAATTACCCTCTGGTGTTACTTCCTTTCAGCCTGAAGAACTTCCTTCAGGAAGTTAATGTATTCATGTATTGAATTTCTTCTTTTCATGTTTTGTGTAAGACAAATCTATTGGCAACAAAGTCAGTTTTTTGTTTCTCTTGATATGTCCTTATTTCAAAAGCAATTTTGAAAGATAGTTTTGCTGGGTATAGAATTATTGGTTGACAGTTTTGGTGGGTTTTTTTCCCCCCACTACCTCAGAACATTTGTTTTGTTTTGTTTTGCTTTGTTTCGTTGAGAGGGAGTCTTGCTCTGTCACCCAGACTGGAGTGCAGTGGTGGGATCTTGGCTCACTGTAACCTCTGCTTTCTGGATTCAAGTGATTCTCCTGCCTCAGCCTCCAGAGTGTCTGGGCTGACTTCATTAATTTACTGGGCTTACCTGCTGTGATATTTCAGTCTGCAACTTGGTCTCTACTTATCTTTGAGGGAAAATGTTCTCCATCCCCAGTGATGGAATAAGTGAGGAGGTTTGTATTAACATTTAACTTGGACATACTTTAAATTTGTTGGAGTATATTATTAATTCTCCTTCAGGCTGTGATCCAATTGGTAGAACACTTTATGTTAAATCCCTTCCAGAGTGGGATGCTACTTCAGGGTTGACATGGTGTTCTGAGACTAAGGCAATGCCAGTCAGGGGTCTGTGTTCTAGCCTGGGGCTAGGCTAGATTTGTTTCTGCTTTTTTTTTTTCTCCTGCAGCAGGGTCTCACTTTGTCACCGAGGCTTGAGTGCAGTGGCATGAACATGGCTTACTGCAGCCTTGACTTCCCGGGCTCAAGCAATCTTCCCACCTCAGCCCCCAGAGTAGCTGGGACTGTAGGCATGTGCCACCTCGCCCAGCTAATATTTGTATTTTTGGTAGAAATGAGGGCTCGACATGTTGCCCAGGCTGTTTTTGAACTCCTGGGTTCAAGCAATCCTCCCATCTCGGCTTCCCAAAGTGCTAGGATTAGAAGCGAGAGCCACCACGCTCAGCCCTTTGCTGAATTTTTAACAAATAACTCTTGGTACGTTTCGAATGGTTTCTATCAGTTGTTCAGGGTGGTCTTGCCCCTGAAGGAGGGCCCCATGTGCCTTTTTTTTCCCTTTTGCTGTCTCCTCTGCATCCACATTCCTTTCTGGCCTTCTGGTCCTTTCACCCTGCCTGGTGGCAGCCAGGTGCCCTGCCTCACTCTGTGGGCTTTGATGCTCGTGGTCTCCTTGGATGTCCCCTCACAGTCCTGTCCCTGGTTCCCAGCCACAGCCCCTGGGTGACAACACCCACATCTTCATCTCTCCTTCCCCAAGGACCGTCCTCTTCAACACCACCCACAAGCCCTGGGCTGAGGTCATCCCGTGCAACTATGAGATGCAGCACGTGCTCAGGGACCTGGTGCCACTGAAGGCCTTCCTGCTGGCAGGGACCACCGTGACTATTGTGGAGGAGAAGGTGGGCAGGCAGAGGCAGTGCCTGGCCGCCCACAGGCTGCACCTCTGCCCCTGTTCCTGCTCCCATTGGGCTGTCCCCTATAGGAGCTTCACTCCCTGGTTAGCTGAGGTCTCAGCACCGCTCCAGAAATGGTGAGAGAGAGACAACCCCAGGCAGCCCCCGTGGGCCTCTGCTCACTTGAGGCCACATCCCTGCCCCTAGATTCTCTCCTGGCCGGCGGTGCTGCCTGCTGTTGACAGTCCCCTGTCTGCCAAGAAAGGAAAAGGAGAGAAAGACAAGAAAGAGAAGGAGAAAGACAGGAAGGGGAAAGGAGAGAAAGAGCCGGCCAAGGTACCGGGCCCTGGTGCCGGGGACGGCGGTCTGGCCACAGCCTTGTCTTGCTTCGTCCCACCTCGTCCCACCCTCCTGGCCTCCCCCAGCAGGTACCAAAGAAGAAGAAAGAGCCACCCAAGGAGCTCCGGCAGGACCCTCCCATCCTGCAGGTGCTGGGCCGAGGCCTGGTGGTTCTGGAGCCCCTGCTGGTGGGGGAGCCCCTGGTGTCCACCGTGTGCAACTTTGGCGTGGTCCGCACCTTGGCATCCGACAGGCTGGCATTTGCCAGGGTACCACATCCTCCACCTCTGCCTTTGCCCTCCTCACAGGAACCCTGAGGGCAAGCAAGGGCTGTGGGCCCAGGTCACTGGATGGGGAGGAGAGGGTGGGGAGGGCTTTTCCCTGGGTCACACAGCCAGGTGCTGGTGCTGCCACCTGCACACAGGGCCCCTCCTTGGGTTTCAGCCCAGTCAGCCTTCCCCTTAGGGTGGGCACCCTCTCTGAGAGACCCCCGCCTTCCTGGACCTCTTAGAGGGAATGGAGGAGGTGGGGCCCCAGAGAAACCCCTTCTCCAGCACCTTCTCTCTCGTTTTGTGGTTCTTTCTCTCAGGATTCAAAGAAGATTAAGAAAACTGCCAAAAAAGGTGAGTGCCGGTGGTGGTGTCAAAAGGCAGGGAGTGGCAGGAGGACCTGCTGAGGGCCAGCTCTGGTAGAGGCCAAAGGAACAGAAGGGCGGGGAATGGGCGCTTCTGGCCTGGGGAAGAGGCCACGTCCCGCCTTAGGATCCAATGTTAATGTTCCTTCCCTGCAGCCCTCAGACCACCAGGCCTGTGGGTTGTGACGCAGGTGGGGAAGGCACCTGTGGTAGAGCCACAGCAGGGTGAGGGCTCATAGCTGGGGTGGCGTGGGTCCCTCTGCTTCCGAGGTGTCTGCCTCCAGCTCTAGGCTATTGGGCCTCATTTGCTGTAAGAGGAGCCTGGACTTGTCCTGTGGGGAGCTGCAGAAACATCTGAAATGGGTGCATCTCGGGTTTGAGGTTCAGAAAGAATGTCCGGCTGGGAGGGAGAGAAAGGAGACTGGGAGAGCTGTGGGAGGCGGCTGCAAGGCCTGAGGCCCAGTCATAGCCAAGCAGCCATCATGCTGAAGCTGAAAAGTGGAAACAGGCACGGGGCGGTGGCTCACCCCTGTAATCTCAGCACTTTGGGAGGCCGAGGCGGGCAGATCACCTGAGGTCAGGAGTTCAAGACCAGCCTGGCCAACATGGTCAAACCCTGTCTCTACTAAAAATACAAAAATTAACCAGGCGCGGTGGCAGGTGCCTGTAATTCCAGCTACTCGGGAGACTGAGGCAGGAGAATTGCTTGCACCCAGGAGGCAGAGTTTGCAGTGGGCCAAGATCGAGCCATTGCACTCCAGCCTGAGCAACAGAGTGAGACTCTGTTTCAAAAAAATAAACAATAAAATAAAATCACTGAAGAAGTAAATGTTGGAGGGCATATGCTACTGGACTTCAAAACCCATGCCTATATGAACACGTGATTTGTGATACCTGTGGGTTAGGATGGACTTAAAAAGGTTTTTTTTTTGTTTTTTTTGGTTTTTTTTGTTTTGTTTTTCGTATATCTCTTTAATGTCTAGCTGAATTGAAGACACCTGGATTTTTATAGCTACTTCTGCAGTCAACTGCTTGCAATATTTTGCTGTAATTGAAGTGCATAAAGAAAATCCAACCTCAGACCATAATTGGAAAAGAGGGGAGTATTTTAATAGACCCTCAAATAATTGGGGATATTTTTCTTTAAAATTACACCAAATTTGACAAGTGGTAGTTTCTTAAAGATTGTTACAATGTGAAAACTGAATGTATATTGAATTTTTCATAATCAGATTAAAATTCATTGGCCTAGTTTACATTTTGAATGGATATTTTGCCATGCACAATTTGTAACATGCATGAGTTACTTATAAAATACAGGTTAACCAGCTTACGCAGATATTCCAACTGTTGACCCCCGTCACTATCCATTTTCCAAAAATCACGTTCTTTACTATCACCGCCCACGTCATTAGAAAGGTCTTTGAGTATTGCAAAATTGATAAAATTCATGGTGGCAGATACAATGTTATCTCGTTTTTAGGGCAAATGTTATAAATCTATTGAAATACTTTCAGTTGTTTTGCCTGAAGTGCCGGAATTACAGAATTACTTTTTTTTTCTTTTTTCTTTTTCTAACTGTTGCCCAGGCTGGACTGCAGCAGCGTGATCTTGGCTCACTGCAACCTCCACCTCCCGGGTTCAAGCGATTCTCCTGCCTCAGCCCCCATTGCAGCTGGGACTACAGGTGCACACCACCAAACCCGGCTAATTTTTGTATTTTTAGTAGAGACGGGGTTTCAACATATTGGCCAGAATAATCACGATCTCCTGACCTCGTGATCCACCTGCCTCCGCCTCCCAAAGTGCTGGGATTACAGGTGTGATCCACCGCGCCCGGCCGAATTACTTCATTTTTGAGAAAATATCTGCAGCCAGGCACGGTGGCCCACGCCTGTAATACCAGCACTTTGGGAGGCCAAGGCGGGCGGATCACTTGAGGTCAGGAGTTCGAGACCAGCCTGGCCAACATGGTGAAACCCCTGTCTCTACTAAAAATTAGCCGGTCGTAGTGACGGGCGCCTGTAAACCCAGCTACTAGGGAGGCTGAGGCAGGAGAATCGATCCCAACTACTCGGGAGGCTGAGGCAGGAGAATCGCTTAAACACAGGAGGTGGAGGTTGCAGGGAGCCTAGATCACGCCACTGCACTCCAGCCTGGGCGACGGAGCAAGACACTCTCAAAATAAAAAGCAGCTAGTTCGTCTTGCAATTCACAGCTGCGACTCATTAAATGATCTAATTAAATGCAATTTGATTTTATTTCTCATTAGCTAAGACCTGAAGACCGAAAACTCCCGCCAGGACGGAGTCCAGGGCTTGCATTTGGGATGGGTCAGGGCGGCCGAGAACGCCAGCCCATTTGTCTCCCGGGACTCATGCTCGCGTTTTTATTTTCTCAGAAAAGCCAAAAGCCGTGATTCCCATCTACGAAGGCGATTACCAGCCCGAGCCCCTGACGGTGGAGGTGCAGATCCAGCTGAACCAGTGCCGCTCGGCGGAGGAGGCGCTGCGCACGTTCGCCGTGTAGGGCGCGGGCAGTAAAGGCTGTTCCCAGCGCTCCCGCCTCGGCGTCGGTCTCTCAGCTCGCGTCGGAGGGCGGGTGTGGCGCCGGCGTCCTAGGGAGGAGGAGCCTCTGCCCGGCTGGGTTCGTGCGGACCCCAGGACTGGGTGGGGGACGGGACACGTGCGTCCAGGCGCGGGCGTGGCAGAGACTGGCGGCCCGGAGCCCGCCCTCGCCAAAAGCCCCGCCTCCCCATAAGCCCCGCCCCAAAGAGCCCCCACTCGAGCTCCGCACACCTGGGCACTATCCGCCCTGGCTCCGCTGCGCCAGCTCCTCGCCTCTGCCCCGGCGTCACGCTCAGGTAGGTCGGGAACCGGGACCCCGCTGCTGTGAGGGAAGCTGGGTCACCATGTGGGGAGGGGCGTCGCTAGGGCGGCCGTACCTTTGCACCCCGCAGCCGGTTCTCCGGTCCCCTCCCGGGTCCCAGCGAGGACGCCGGCCCCGCCCGGGTGCGGCGCGGGTCTGGCCTTAGCAGGCCGGGCTCGGGGCCCACGGGCTGCTCGGCTTCGGTTCTCCGGGCTGGGGATAGAGGCCGGAGCCGGGCGTCGTGGACCCTGCCAGCCTGGGCTGCCCGTCCCCAACGCGCCGCGCTGCCTCCAGCCCCGGCCCGGGGTCCCCTGCGGGGTGGGTCCCTGTCTCCGCCAGCCCTCCAGAGACCGTCGCGTTGAAGGAATGAACCAGAGCTCGGCCCCTGTCCGCGCCGGGGCACTTGGGTCACCGCGTCCTGTGGGGACCCGAGGCGGCTCTCGCCCCAGGCCGAGCCTCAGGACCCGCAACCACCAGGAGGGGTCGTGCGCCCCGCGGCGGGTGGGGAGCAGGGCTCTGGGGTCACCGCGACGGGGACCCTGCTCGGAGGGCGGCGGGGCGAGGCCGTGCGGTCAGCGCGTGGGGACGCCCGCGGAGGAACGGCGCCACCGGGCCGCGGCGCAGCCTGGGCTGAAACCTCCCGGGACGGAACCAAGCCACCTACTGTGCGCCCTTCTCGTTGAATGGCACCGCCGCCCACCCGGGCCCCTAGCCCACAGCCCGCGGTGCTCGCACACCTGAGACCCATCTCGCTCCGACCCCGCCACCGCCCGGCACTCTGAGCACGGAGACAGCCTCCAGCTGCCCTTCTTCCTCCCTCCCCAGCTTTCCGCAGCCCACCAGGGAATAAGCGGTAGGAGTGAGCTTTTACCAAACGTAGATCCTTTCAAGGCCTCTGCCAGACCTTCCTGTCCCCCCTCCCCTCCCCCGCATAGATCTCCAGGGCGCTCAGAAAATCCCGGTAGGTGGCTTTCGCCTGTAGTCCCAACACTTTGGGAGGCCAAGGTGGGAGGATCGCTTGAGGCCAGGAGTTCCAGACCAGCCCAGGCAACAAAGGGAGACCACATCTCTGCAAAACAGCCGGGTCCTGCACGCCTGCAGTCCCAGCTACTGGGGAGGCCGAGGCCAGAGGATCGCTTGAAGCCAGGATTCCCAGGCTGCAGTGGGCTGATTGTGCCACTGCACTAGAATCTGGGTGACAGAGACCCTGTCTCAAACAAAACAACAAAAATCCTAGCTCTTTCACTAGCCTGGCTGGCGTCTCCTACTGTAAACCCGCTTGGCCGCCCCCCGCCCTTCTATTTCCCCTCACTCCTGCTCTGGAGCCGCCTGGTCTTCACGCAGGGCACCCTTCCTCGCTCGGTTCTTGCTCAAATGTCCCCTCATCAAGGAGGACTTTGTTAGCTACCCTTAGCTATGGGATCCATCCTCCAGCCATTTCACTTCGTTAGGCTGTAACTTCTAGGCGTACCTGGTTTCTATGTGTTTTGTGCTCTCCTGTCAGGGCAGCGGCCCTATCTTGCTTGCCACTGAATCCCTAGCACCTAGCAAGTTGCTTTTCTGGTAGTAGCAGCTACGGCAGTGGCCATTGCGGCAGACTAGTCAGAGGTGAAGGGCCAAAGACTTGGCGGTGGAGGGGACTGGGGCAGAGACACTGGAGGGACAAAAATGATGAGAAACTGAAGCCTGTCTTTGCTACTGTGGACCTCGGGCAGGCCATTCTGGTGGATTCCATCTCCTCCTCTTTGGGTCCCTGGGAGAAATCAGCACTTAGAATGGGGTGGGAAGGTGGGTTGGGATGTCTCGGAAGCCAACCCTGATACAAGTCCCCAGCTTTCCTGCCTCCCTCTTGCTGTGTGTTTTGTCTCAGACTCCCCCTGGAAGCCCTGATCTCTGAGGCAGGTGTGAAGCGGTGTGTGCTTTGGTGGCCACAGCCACCCTGTGGTGCTGGTTCTTCTTCCAGGGAGGCAGTGCACTCCCAGTCATCTTGGAGGGGCCCAACACAGAACCCCACAGGCACCAGGCTTTTTTGGGAGAGTTTGACTTCACATTTGAAGAGCCCTGAATGTCAGTTTCATGCTTAGTGAATCTGATCCAAAGCTATACTGAGTCTGTGCCATTTTCTTTTTTTTGAGACGGAGTTTCGCTCTTGTTACCCAGGCTGGAGTGCAATGGCGCATTCTTGGCTCACGGCAACCTCCACCTCCTGGGTTCAAGTGATTCTCCTGTCTCAGCCTCCCAAGTAGCTGGGCAGGCATGTGCCACCACGTCCGGGTAATTTTTTTGTATTTTTAGTAGAGACCGGGTTTCACCCTGTTGGCCAGGATGGTCTCGATCTCTTGACCTCGTGATCCACCCGCCTCGGCCTCCCAAAGTGCTGGAATTACAGGCGTGAGCCACTGTGCCTGGCCCATTTTCACTAAAACTCATCACGTCCTGGGAGAAAGGCGGGGAACACTTATGGTGTCAGCTGTAAAGTGGCTACAAGTCATTTTGGGAAAAACAGACCCAGGTGTCCTCAGATGATGGTAGAGGGCAAGGGCTGGCTGTGTTTGGCCCATCCTCAGAGGAGGGCGGACTCTGGAAAGAGTCTGAGGACACGCTGAGAATAAAAGGAAGCCTGGAGGCCAGCAGGGACTCAGCTGCTGGGGTGCAGTTAACTCCTGCCCAGCTCCTGGGGACAGGGACAGGGACCTGCTCAAGCGGCTCTCTCCTTGCAGGGATTGGCAATGCTCCGCAAGCTGGGCTGGCTGGTTTCCTACAGCCTGGTTGTGCTGCTGCTGGGCTGCCTGCTCTTCCTGAGGAAGGAGGCCAAGCCCATGGGAGACCCCACAGCCCGCCAGCCTTTCTGGGCTCCTTCAGCGCCCTGCCACAGCCGATGTCCACCCAACCACACAGTGGCTAGTGCCTCTTTGTCCTTGCCTAGCCGTCACCGCCTCTTCTTGACCTATCGCCACTGCCGAAATTTCTCTATCTTGCTGGAACCTTCAGGCTGTTCCAAGGACACCTTCTTGCTCCTGGCCATCAAGTCACAACCTGGACATGTGGAGTGGCGGGCGGCTATCCGCAGCACATGGGGCAGGGCTAGGGGCCAGCAGCTGAAGCTGATATTCCTCCTAGGAGTGGCAGGACCCACTCCCCCAGCACAGCTGCTGGCCTATGAGAGTAGAGAGTTTGACGACATCCTCCAGTGGGACTTCACTGAGGACTTCTTCAACCTGACACTCAAGGAGCTGCACCTGCAGCGCTGGGTGGCGGCTGCCTGCCCCCAGGCCCGCTTCATGCTAAAGGGAGATGATGATGTCTTTGTCCATGTCCCCAATGTGCTAGAGTTCCTGGATGGCTGGGACCCGGCCCAGGACCTCCTGGTGGGAGATGTCATCCGCCAAGCCCTGCCCAACAGGAACACTAAGGTCAAATACTTCATCCCACCCTCAATGTACAGAGCCAGCCACTACCCACCCTATGCCGGTGGGGGAGGATATGTCATGTCCAGAGCCACTGTGCAGCGCCTCCAGGCCGCCATGGAAGAGGCTGAACTCTTCCCCATCGATGATGTCTTTGTAGGTATGTGCCTGAAGAGGCTAGGGCTGAGCCCCACACATCATGCTGGCTTCAAGACGTTTGGAATCCGGCGGCCCCTGGACCCCTTAGACCCCTGCCTGTATAGGGGACTCCTGCTGGTGCACCGCCTGAGCCCCCTCGAGATGTGGACCATGTGGGCACTGGTGACAGATGAGGGGCTCAAGTGTGCGGCTGCCCCCATACCCTAGTGCTGAGGTGTGGGTTGGGCAACAGCTGGAGAGTGGACTCTTGATTTTCTATCATAATGAGAAATTGATCCCTGCTGGTCTACAGGAAATGCCGACTTGAGTTTTTGTAACCCCCTCACCGTGTTAGCTCTAATTAAAAACACTGCAACCTGGCTAACTTGTGTTGAATGGGAGCCAAAGTGGTGCCAGGAACCTGTCAGAGGATTCCTGAAGCCTGAAGGAAGGAGACTGCATAGGGCCCCAGGAGACACATTTTCTCATTGAGATGCAGAAAAAATGTTACTCTTCTCCTTTGGATACAATGCAGAAATGCAAAGAAAAGAAAGGAACAAGAAGCATGTGTTAGGAAGAGTCCTGTTGAGAGCACCAGGTAAACACTCTGCATCCCTTCCCTTAGTAGTAATAGACTTTTCACTGCTTGGCCTGAGCTATCCTCACAGGGCAGTGGGGGCAAGTCAGAAAACACATGAGAAACACTTCAATCGTACAAACCAGACAGGCTTCCCGCCCCCAGCCACAACTCGCATCCCAACAGAGGAACAAACACGAAATCATTTTCACAATAAAAACACGTTAAACAGCTACTGAACTTAAGGGCATGACAAAAAGGACTCTTCTCGCTAACCCAGGTTGGCAAAATGCTTTGCGTGTGAGGTAAAAAGATGAGTGGGTAAGAGCAGCTGAAGAGTGGGATGAAATGTTAGAGTGTGGTGCCCAAGGGCTAAGAACCAGGTCCAGTGCAAGCCTGAGACCACAGGAGAAGCACTGACAGCTCACAAAGGCGTTTTGCCTGATTGGCCAGAGCTGGACCTGCTGCCTCTTCTCAGTGCAGAGACAGTCATGCCAACTCTGGGCAGGGTGGCATCTGCCCCTGCTTTCTCCACTGAGTGGGGAGACAGGGCAGTAGGCTCAGGCC